AGGTTATAAGTGAAGTTTGAAAGTCCTTCCAATGTTTCTTTATCTTTGAGTAATTGTTGAATGGCAGCGTGAGGGGCAACCTGGAACAGGGTAAATCATACCCTTTTCATAAATAAAGTCAGCATCCAAAGATTGCAGTTCAACATCATTGACAGTTAGCTCGACAACGTCCATCCTAAAAGAAAAAGAAAGCAAACAGAAAATTATGGTGAATAAATTTGTTTTGGTTTTATTAGCTCTTCTGAGCCAAAGGCTCAAAGAGCTAATGCTATGGCCATTTGTGCGGTGTGCGTTTAACTTTTAAGAATATGGGCCATAACTCAAGAACCCTTTGGCCAATCAGTACCAAATTTGCCACAGGGTATCCTTGGCCCAAGGACTACCATTTATACTAAAATAAGGGTTGGAACCCTAAAACAAGGGGAGATAATCAGGAAAACAAAACCAAAAGTACTAGTTGCTAAAAAATCTTCTTCCGCCAGAACCGCCAGGCAGATTTTCACCAAACTTACATACAAGGATCAGGATATGTTGAAGATTGAAAATTGTTCAAGGCATGACCCTGGGGCAAAAGGCGTGGTCTCAAGGTCACTTTAAAGTTGACCTAAATTTACAATTAATAAAAATGTTTATATTTTGCTTACTATAAGGACTAGGATCATCAAATCTTGTAAGTAGATGCATCTTAGGACTTCACATCATGTTAACTCAAAAGTAGGTCACGGTGACATACTTTTTTAATTTTGCAGGCATTTGTTTTCAAATTGATTTGAAGGCATATTTTGGACACTTTAAGGCCTAAGATCATGAAAGTTAGTCAGTTGATGCATCTTGGGTCTTTAAACAACGTCAACTTAAAAGTAGGTCGCCGTGACCTACTTTATGAACTTTATGACTTATCTTTTTAAAAACATTTAATCCCATTATTTCAGGCACTGAAAGGGTTAGAATCATCAAATCTTGTAAGTTGCTGCATCTTAGGACCTTAAATCATATTTAAGAAAAAGTAGGTCACTGTGACCTACTTTTAGAATTTTGCAGGCATATGTTTTCAAATTGTTTAAAAGGCATATTTTGATTACCTTCAGACCTAAACTCATAAAACTTGGTCAGGAGATGCATCTTGGGACTCTGAAAAATGTCGACCAAAATGTAGGTCACGGTGACCTACTTTAGACATTTTATGGCTATATTTCAGTATCTTAGGTATTTTTTGGCTTAGAATCATCAAACTTTGTGAGTTGATGCATCTTGGGTTTTCGGAGAGTGACGACAGAAAATTAGGTCACGGTGACCTACTTTAGACATTTTATGGATATATTTAAGTATTCCAGTACTTATTGGCTTAGAATCATCAAGCTTTGTGAGTTGATGCATCTTGGGTTTTCGGAGAGTGACGACCGAAAAATTAGGTCACAGTGACCTACTTCAGACATTTTATGGCTATATTTAAGTATCTCCAGTACTTATTGGCTTAGAATCATTAAACTTTATCAGTTGATGCATCTTGGGTTTCGGAGAGTGACGACCAAAAAGTAGGTCACGGTGACCTACTTTTGACATTTTATGGCTATATTTAAGTATCTCCGGTACTTATTGGCTTAGAATCATCAAACTTTGTCAGCTGATGCATCTTGGGATTCGGAGAATATCGACCAAAAAGTAGGTCACGGTGACCTAATTTTAACAGTTTATGGCTATACTTATTTATCTTAGGTATTTATTGGCTTAGAATCATCAAGCTTTGTGAGTTGATGCATCTTGGGTTTTTGGAGAGTGACAACAAAAATTAGGTCACTGTAACCTACTTTCGACATTTTATGGCTATATTTAAGTATCTCCGGTATGTATCGGTTTAGAATCATCATACTTTGGTATTTATTGGCTTAGAATTATTAAACTTAGTCAGCAGATGCATCTTGGGACTCGGAAAAATGTCGACTAAAATGTAGGTCATGGTGATCAGTTGATACATCTTGGGTTTTCGGAGAATGTTGACCAAACAGTAGGTCACAGTGAACAACTTTCGACATTTTATGGCTATATTTAAGTATCTTAGGTATTTATTTGCTTATAATAATCAAACTGTGTCAGCTGATGCATTTTGGGTTTTCCAAGAATGTAGACCAAGAAGTAGTCCTAATTGGCTAAGAATCATCAAACTTTGTCAGGTGATGCAACTTTGGTCTTAGGATACTTAGGGTTAGAGGCTTCAAATACAAGTGATAGGTTGTACAACTTATCAGAAGAGCGATTCAAGGCCCCTGGGCTTCTTGTTTTTCTACCAAATCTAGACGTTTCCATTTGAGGTGAAGGAGGGTTTTGTATTTCTGAAAAAGCATTAGGTGAATCTACAGTGTCGGAATTGAAATGAAATTGAGGAATACATTCAGTACTAGCATTAGCTGCTTCTGGGGAGGAAACAGTTGCGAGGTGTTTGGTTTCCTTCGTAAGGTTTTAAGTGGTCCACGTGAACGGTTATTTCGGGAGAGTTTTTATTTTTCTGAATTGTATTTGAGAGATGAAATTTTATTAACAACTAAATAGGGACCCGTCAATCCTAAGCCCAATTTTTTCTTTCGCTTCAGGAGGGTACCATCTCCAAACCCAGTCATCTTTCTGAAGAGATCGGGGTTTCAAACCTACGTCATAGTAATTTTTCTGTCGATTTGCTGCCTTGTTTAAGTGTTCAAATGCAAAATATGCTCTCATAGATTTTTGTAACCATTCAATGTATTCAGAAGGACAGATGTCGTTTTGATCTGGAGGAATTCCAGTAATAATATCAATGGGACAACCAAGTTCATGTCCAAACATGAGAAGATTGGGAGCACAGTTAGTAGTTTTCTGAGTGGTAGCCCTGAAAGCCATAGTTAGATAAGGTAAGTTGTCGTCCCAGTCATTTTTGTTTTCGTTTACAAAGGCTGATAACATTTGTTGAATAGTACGGTTAAATCTCTCGACAAGACCGTCAGATTTAGTTCTGTATGGGGTTGTTCTTGTCTTATCTATTTCTACTTTTGAAGATAAATTTTAAAATAATATGGATTCAAACTCTCGACTTTGGTCAGTGTGGATTTGTTTTGGAACACCTAACATAGAAATGAATTCTGTCATTAATTTGTCTGCTACAGTTAATGCAGTGTGATCTTGTATTGCATATGCTTCCTTCCACTTTGAAGAATAAACACAGACAACCATTCTGTACTCGTTGCCATTTCGTGTAATAGGCAGGGGACCAAAAATATCGATGCCAATTCGATCTAATGGTTTGGTAATTTCAGAGTTTTTAAAGTGAGATATCCCAAAACCAGGACCAGGTTTTCTTTGAGCTTATTTATCGCATTCTTTGCACCATTCTGTAACATTTTCAAGTAGATATGGCCAATTAAACCTTTGATTCACTGCCTCAGCAGTGCGTTCGATGCTAAAATGACCACCTATCCTAGTAGAATGAAGTTGGTGAAATATGAAATATCTTATTTCAGGGGGCGCAACTAGTTGAATTTCATCATTAATGATTATTTGTTTTATACAAGACATTGTTTTTCAATACTAGTAAGTCCCACTTGTTCCATAGGTGTTTTGTTTCGTCAGAGTACCTCTTTTGGGGGTTTCTTGTCTGTTTGGATTTTCATTTTTAGAATAGGGGCGATGAAATTATCTCTTAACTGCATTTCAGACATGTTTTCAGAAGCCCATGTGTCTAGCCAGTTTGAAGTAAGAGTATCAATGTCACTTTGACTTTTAGAAAGAACTGGGCTTAGCGGTACAGGTTCATGAAAACCTTCATTTTTATTGATAGGGGACGTCACGTCGGGGGTTGCATCTTTTCTTTTGGACACTGATTCTGAACAACAATCGGGGCATTCGGGTCGAGTACAAGGTCTTGACAGAGGTCTACGTGAAAGACTATCAGCATTTAAATGCTGTGAACTCCTTCTATGTTCAATCTTAAAATCATATGTGTCCAGGATACTTATCCACCTAGCGACTATGCCTTCAGGATTCTTAAATTTTTTTAAGCCAGACTAAGGAGGAATGGTCAGTCCTGACTAAAAATTGTCGACCCCAAAGAAAATGACGAAAATGTTGGATAAAAGTAACTACAGACAGTAGTTCTCGTCGAGTCGTACAATACCGACGTTGGGCCCTATTTAAGGTTCTACTAGCGTATGCTATGACATGCTCTTGACCATCTTGAATCTGAGAAAGTACTGCCCCGATACCAGAGAGACTTGCGTCAGTGTCAAGAATAAACTGACCTTCGGAAGTGGGGTATGATAATACCGGTGCAGAAACCAAAAGTTTCTTCAGTTCTTCAAAAGAGTCTTGACACGATTCGTCCCATATAAACTTTCTGTTTTTCTGTGTCAACCTGGTCATAGGAAAAGCAACAGTGCTAAAAGTTGGAATAAAACGCTAACCTTAAGAACGATCGTTCCTCACTAACATAAGTGGGCACAGGCCATGTGAATACTGCTTGTATTTTCTCTTCATCACAACTAATACCCTGTTCAGAGACAACATGTCCTGAAAATGTAACAAAGCTTTGAAAAAGAACACATTTCGTGGGTTTTAGTTTTAGATTTGCCTTTTTAAGACAGTTGTAAACACATTCTAGATTTTCTAATGCTGAGTTAAACGTATCTCCGTAGACAATGATATCGTCAAGATAGCACAAGCATTTCTGCCATTCAAATTTCCCTAACACAAGATGAACAAGTCTTTGGAAAGTCGCAGGAGCGTTACATAACCTGAACGGAAGAACTTTGAACTTATAAAGACCTCAAAGTGTGGTGAAAGCATTTTTGTGTTTATCTTTGTCTGACATTTTGCACTGCCAGTAACCACTAGCCATGTCTAGAGTAGAAAACCAACGAGCACCTGCTAAAGATTTTAGAGATTCATCTATGCGAGGTAGTGGAAATGCATCCTTCTTTGTGCATTTAAACGACGATAATCAATGCAGAATCTTATACTCCCGTCTCGTTTAATTGTCAAACAAATAGGTGAAGCATAGATGCCTCAATAATGTTATTTTCAAGCATATTCTGAATTTCACGTTCAACAATTTCCCTTTGGGCTATAGGAATTCTTCTAGGGGGTATTTTGAATGGTTCTGAGTCCCCAGTTTCTATTTTGTGCTCAACTAAATCAGTTCTCCCCAATGGTTCCCCTGGACCAACAAAAATATCTTGAAATTTGACTAAAAGATTGCGAATAGATAATTTTTGAGATTCATTCAATTGTTCAGAAGTTCGCTGCAGAATTTCTTCTAAATGTTCTGGCAGATTTGAAGTATTTACATCTTTTAAGTTTTCTTTTTGTTCAAAAGGAATTGTTTGTTCAAAGGACTGTAAACTAGCAATGATGGTATCCCTATCTAGTTTAATAGGGCGATCGTTCAAGTTTGCTACAGGGAAAATGACTTCTTTATGTTGTGGGGTAACTAAAGACTTGCACATGAGAAGTTCTTTATTTTGTACAACTTTAGAGGGCTCTAGCAGACCTTCGTCATCCCTATATTCACCATCAATATATCCCTGTATAAACAATTCACTATTAGGAGGAATAGAAACCGACTCTGAAACTCTAACTCTAGCACACGAATAAATACGACTTACACTTGGGTTAAGAAAATCCATTCCCAAGATACCCTGAAGTCGATCATTTATTCTGACAACTAGAACTTCATGATTGTACGTGTGTTTGAAATTTTTTATTCTAAAGTTGACAAATCGACTGGTAGACTGGTAGACGTTTTGACAGATGGACGGGTAGACAGGTCGACTGGCTGACAGATCGACGGGTTGACAGGTCGACTGGTAGACTGGTTGACAGGTAGACAGGTCGACTGGTTGACAGGTCGACGAATCGGTGAGTTGACAGGTGGACGGGTAGACAGGTGGAGGGGTTCACAGGTCGACGAGTAGACGGGTTGACAGGTAGACGGGTAGACAGGGGTACGGGTTGACAGGTCAGCGGGTTGACAGGTCTACTGGTTGACCCCTAGGTTTGATAGAGGAATAGCCCTAATCTATTATGTTCGATAACTAACTCTATTCTCTCAGGTGGTTTTTGGAACTAACCCTAGTCTCTCAGGTGGATTCGAGAACTAACCTTAATCTCTCAAGAGGGTTCGAAACTAACCCTAATCTCTCAGGGGGTTCTAGTACTAAACCTAATCTCTCAGCCTGGTTTGAATACTAACCCTTATCTCTCAAGTGGATTTGAAAACCAACCCTTATATCTCAGATAGGTTTGAAAATTAATCAGAGGTGTCAACTGTCGACCTGTCGACCTTTGTGGTGACACTGTTGATTAGTAAGAGGTGTCAACTGTCTACCCTTTAAAGGGGATGAAGGATGTATGGTCACGTAAATATTTTTGACCGTTTGTTTGCGTTCAACATCTAGTATAAAAATATCTGAAAACATTCAAAATTTCTTGCAAACATTATCAAATTACGGAATAGATTAATCAACTTTGCCGTTTCCGTACTCTGCGCGTCCAGTGCGTCTTTGACGTCATAGTGGATCTCATAGTTCAGTAAGAACATACACGGTAAAAACGGGTAGTATAAAATCATAAAAACGGGCCATAATACGTATATTGTAAGGCATTTTGTAAATTTCAGAACGCGAAAAATATTTTTACATGGTTGTTGACGGAAAAGTTCTGTGAGTTTGTCTTATTTAGCTTATTTCAGGAATGTGTGACGTCATAGTTGGGTTTTGCCGTACTCGAGAAATGTAAACATGACACGTTTTTCTCATGATCATGACTCGTTTAACTTTGCCACGTGCAATATTGAGCTCAGCTTCACCAATCGATATTTTTACAGTTAATCAATACAATGACGATCTTGAAATTCGACGTAAATTTTCAAAAATTAATGTTAGGATTTTTTGCAAATTCATTTTTTTATGGTTTAGGTTGTCCTGAAAAAGTCGTAAATTTCCGTCTCCAGATGTGGTGTTACAAAAGAATCTTGCTTTTTTTTCGAATTTTAACCCTATTCATACAAATATTTTAAAAGACACATTTCCACTGTTATATTTTTTTAGGGATGGCAATCGATTGCAGAATTGCTAATCTGTTAATCGTAAGACGTTCCGACCGATTAACCGGTTAGTCGTATCAAGATATACTTGATGACATTTATTTTAAATACACAAGAATGGTATATTCTTATTCAATTTATCAATCTTGGTCGGGAAATTTTATTAATAAAATAAGATTTTATTTTAATTTCAATAAAACAATTACGAAATCTAGGAATTGTGCCTGAGAAATCAAACATTGATAATTTTCAAAGAAGTTAAAGAAGTTCATTCTTCATTGTCACCATAATCAAAACTTTGTCTGAACTCTAACTTTGTTCTTTCTAATTGTTTAATTTAAAAGATAACGGCATTATATAGACATACCAATTAAAAGGGTAAACGGTGATATTTTTAAAATCATTAAACATCACAGGACAGTCGGGGTAACAGGTGTGATTTTAAAAACAGTAATTAACACTTTACAAACTGGTCAATAGGCCCGCGATTTCCTTCTGGAGAGCCATTATTACGTAATTACCTCCAAATCATCTTTATTATAATATGTTCATTGAATGAAATTTTATGCAGCAGTTTCATTTCTACAAAATGAAATTGATAAAAACTGCCTTCAAATTACACATATTTCATTTTTTTTTTCGACTAACCGATTACGAATTTTCTAACCGATTAGCTTCGTTCCGACCGATTAATCGAATAACCGGTTACGAATTGCCATCCCTAATTTTTATCTATGGTGAAAAATTTCAATTATCGACCGAGTAATGGACCCAGAAACACGGGAAATAAAAAATCTGCTCATACACTCTGGGGTATGGTATTTGTCACTCCATATCTCGGAAATTAGTCTAGAAACCTATTGGTATCTCTGCTTTATAGTATACGGGACATAGTAAATAAGATATATGCAAAATATGAAAAAAATTAAATGACAGGTATTTTTCAGCTAAAGGTCCTTCATCCCCTTAATGTCAATGTAAGTTTAATGTGGAATTGTCAAACAGGGGACTTCTTATGGACTATTTTTAAAAGGATATATTTGAAGTAATAAGGCAGAATATTCCCACTATCTACTATAAAAGGAACTATTTCCTATCAAATTTTAAATTTGAAAGATGTTAATCGGTTTTATGGAACTACTTATCCGTATACCCTAGTTGAACCAAAGCACTACCCCAAGCCGAGAACAGTGTGGTATCAACACTGCGTAGCTCGGGTTTCCTACCTCCTAACTTAGCAAAATATTCCTCTCATATAAGGGTGATAGGTGATCCCGTGTCTACTAAGAAGTCCCATTTAACCCCGTTTACCAAAGCGGAAACGTACAGACAGCCAAGTCAAGTTTAATTGTTGGCCAGATAGAATTACCATCATTTTCTTGTTTACAGGTCGAACTTTCGGCCTCAAGCCCGACCCTATCTAGTTTTCCGGCATTTTAGATTTGTCAAAGTTTTGTTGGACAGTGTTTGGTGTGTTTGTGGTTTGTGGAATATTGGTTTGACCAGTTTCGTCCCTAAGTTTTGACCGACATTGTCTCATTACGTGGCCATTCTTACCACAGTAAAAACATTTCAAAATCTTTCCGCGATTTTGTATATTTTCAGTGCGGTTTGATTGAGAGCGCGAATCTAAGAATTCTGTCAACTTTGCAAACTGTTCGGCTATTGGCTTACTGATTTGTTCCAAAGGGTTGTCAATCGACGTTGGTTTATCAGATTTCGGTACCGTGTGAATGGAGTTGACTTGTTCGCAAACTTTTGGTTTGTTCAGGGTACTTTGTGACCCTTCAAAAGATTCAAATTCAACGGCAAGTGAAATAGCTTCATCTAGAGTTTTGGGATGATGAAACTTGACATGCTTTTTAATTTCCTGACTACCGAGCCCATATATGAATTGGTCAGTGATGTAAATTTCTTTAGCATCATATGGGATCCCAGGAAAAGCCAAACATCCCAATCTACGTAGGGCGTACCCGTAATCTGTGGCAGATTCATTTTTATCTCGCCTACGATTTCTAAATTCCGATCTAAAGGCCGATTCTTGACCTGGGGGATGGAACCTTTGTTCTAGAGCCAGTTTTATTTCATCATAATTTTTCACTTGACTCGAATTCAAATCGCTGAGTAGCTTTTGAGCATTTCCCCTCAATGACATGCATAATTGTTGGGCCATTTCAAATTTATTCCATTGATTCCAGGAAGCAACCTGCTCGAAGTGCACTATGTAGTCTTTGAAATCCGTAGATTTCCCATCATATGTGTCAGGTTCTTTTGGTTTTCGCTTAAATTTAACAGAACTCTGAAGTTCTCCGCTACCTAAGTCGGACTGGCTGATTGGGTTAGAATTATGCAAACTTTGCGGTGTTTCAGGTACATGGACCTGACTAGGGTCTACTAGTATCCTACCCCTACTATTTACATTTGGTATTTCAAGCGATGGGGTTTCCGGTACATAAGGGGGTTGCATAAAACGCACATGTCCTTTAGGAGTGCTAGTACACACGCCCTCGGTGAGTGAACTACCTTGATCAGTGTGGTCACTGAAGCGCAAAGGTGTGCCATTTAAATCCGATCGCAAAGGTAGTGGGTCGATGTGAGGATTACTCACTGAGTCGTGTTCGACAGGTGTCTCACTGCGTGATTTGATTAAATTTTCCCGATAAATTCTGGGTGTTTCAATTGTATGATAACCCGAACTTGTACCCAGAGTTTCATTTTGTCTGACAAAATTATTGTCAGCTGTACGGCCTGATTGGCTTTGTTCTAAGTCTTGAATTTTAAGGGTTAAGTTTTCTATTTCTTGTTTATTTTTCTGAATTTCTGACTGAAGATACCGTATAAAACCTTCTTCGAAAGACATTTTGAAATTTCATAGACAAACTGATCCGGTCGCGGCACCAAAAATGTAATATATAAGAACAATGTTCTTATCAAATCAGCAACCCACGTTCATTATTTCCTCTCAGATCGTCTATGAAAAGATAACAAAGGTTTATAATGTATTATAGCATAGCAAATAAAAGACTAGGAGACTTATTGTTCACAGAACAATAAGAGGTCTTTCCACCTTTTAAATTTCAATTTCATTTAATATTTATCTATCTAAAATTAAATTTCATAAAAAAGAAACCAGGTATGGCTTAAAAGAAGAAAAAAATGAAAATGATTTTTTTTTTTTAAGGTGACCTTGACCTTTGACCTTCAAGTCATATTCAAGGTCAAAGGTCAAGGATCACATTGCAATTAACCCTATGTCTCTATGACTTATAGTTTTAAAGTTACAAGGTTTAATAGTAAGCACAGAAGCATTTAAGGGCAGTAACTCATTCAAGGAGTCACCAGATCCTTTTGCACTTGAACATAAAAATTTTGCCTTAAGTCCCATAAGACATTAGAGAAGGTTTTGTGTCTTTGCGGTTTATGGTTTTGTAGCAATAGCAATTTAAATGTTTTTTCATACAAGGGGCAATAATTTAAATAGGGTCAATCTTAAGGGACGAGAATGAAATCTAAGAAACAGTTTCAAAAGTACATATTAATGATGCATAGACATTAAGCATATGTTGAAAGATAAAAGAGATA